AAGTGGTAGAGCGCTAGCCTTGAGCTAAAGAGCTGAGGGACAGCGTCCAAGCCCAGAGTTCAGGCCCCACGACCGGACCCCAAAAAAAAAAAAAAAAGCACTATAGCTCAAGTGGTAGAGAGCATTAGCCTTGAGCAAAAGAAGCTCAGGGACAGTGCCCGGGCCCTGAGTTCAAGCCCCAGGCCAGGCAAAAAAAAAAAAAAACTAACCATACATCTTCTCTGTGATCCAGCCATGCCACTGCTGGACATCTACCCAGAACATTACAAGCCAGGATATTGTAAAAGCACTTGAACATCTGTGTTCATTGCTGTACTATTCACAGTAGCCAAACTAAGCAAACAGCTCAGATGCCCTACAATAGATGAATGGATTAAAAAAATGATACAATATAATTTTACACAGCCATTAGGAAGAATAATGTCATTTGCAGGGAAATAGATGGATCTAGAACAAATCACATTAAGTGAGGTCAGCTAAGCTCAGAGACAAACAGGACATGTTTTCTCTTGTATGTGGAAGCTAGACTTAAAATACATGGAGACATGATAAATTATATAGCACTCCAGGCATTCATACACAGTTGGACTAAAAGAGGACACTCTTAAGAGAGAAACAAAAAGGCACAATGCATATATGAATCTGATCACATAAAATAATATTTATTGAAATGAACTCCAGGTTAAAAAATGAGGGCTGAGAGTTTAGCTCAGCGGTAGAACACTTTCCTGGTATGCCTAAGGCCTGGGTTCAATCTCCAGAACTACAAAGAAAAAACAAAGAAAAAGTCGACTTCTGTTTGCCAATCTCCAGTGGCTCATGCCTGTAATCCTAGCCACATAGGAGACTGATATCTGAGCATCATGGTTCAAACACAGCTCAGGCAGAAAAGTCCATGAGACTCTTGTTTCCAATTAACCATCTGAAAACCAGGCAATGTGGCTGAAGTGGTAAAGTGCTAAGGTGAAAAATCTCAAGGACCATGCCCAGGCCCTGAGTTCAAGCCCCAAGACTAACAAAGAAAAAAGAGATGAACAGTAAGGGAATGGTAAATTTTATTTATTTTTGTTGCCAGTCCTGGGGTTTGAACTCAGGGCCTAGGCATTGTCCCTTAGCTTTTTTGTTCAAGGCTAGTTAATTGGAGATATGAGTCTTGAGGTCTTGCCTGCCCAGGTTGGCTTCAAATTGTGATCGCCAGATCTCAACTTCCTGGATTACAGGCATGAGCCACACTGCCTGGCTTGATTTTTATTTTCAAGTCATGGGACTTGAACTCAGGGCCTGTGTGCTATCCCTGAGTTTTTTTATTCAAAACTAGCACTGTACTACTTTGAGCCACAATGTGACTTACAGTTTTCTGGGGGTTACTTGGAGACTTTTCTGCCTTTAACCACGATGCTCAGATCTAAGCCTCCTAAGTAGCTAGGGTTATGGTATTCAGGCTTGATATATTTGGTTTTGGTTTTGTTTTATTGGTCATGGGGCTTGAACTCTGGCCTGGGTGCTATCCCTCAGCTCTTCCGCTCAAGGCTAACACTCTACCACTTGAGCCACAATGCCACTTCCAGCTTTTTTCTGCTTATGTGGTGTAGAGGAATCGAACCCAGGGCCTCATGTGTACAAGACAAGCACTCTACCACTGAGACACCTTCCCAGACCTTGATATATATATATATATATATATATATATATAGTTGTTGTTGTTGTTTTTTTAATGTTGGTCATGGGGCTTGAACTCTGGGCCTGAGCACTGTCCTTCAGCTCTTCAGCTCAAGACTAGTGCTCTACCACTTGAGCAACAGCGCCACTACCGGTTTTCTGGTGGTTTATTAGAGATAAGAGTTTCACGGCCTTTTCTGCCTGGGCTGGGTTTGAACTGGGATACTCAGATCTCAGCCTCCTGAGTAGCTAGGATTACAGGTGTGAGCACCCAGCTAGGCTTGATTTTTTTTTTTTCTTTTTGGCACTGTCCCTCAGCTCTTCAGCTCAAGGCTAGTGCTCTACCACTTGAGCCACAGGGCCACTTCCGGCTTTTTTTTTTCTGCTTATGTAGTGCTGAGGAATCAAACCCAGGGCCTCATGCATGCAAGGCAAGCACCCTACTACTGAGCCACCTTCCCAGCCCAAGGCTTGATATTTTTATAATACTTTGTAGTTTTGAAAATAAGGTATGTGCTATATGGAAAGATCTCTAAAAATAAAACGTGTGTTATATAGAAAGATCTCTAAATATAAGATGGGTGTGTGTGTGTGTGT